CAAATTCGCTAAACTCTATATCGACAAAGGATAATTGTCTCTTGTCCCACAATTATCCGAATGGCATTATTTAATTGTTTTAGAAACGCATTTTAATTTATACATTCATTTAGTTTTGAGACCACACAGACAGACTATTGACTTAATCCCACAATAGATAGTCGTGCATTTAACTCGAGGACAATTACGTTATCTAGAATTAGCGTGCATAACGACGCTGAGGTTATCATAAGTGAAAGTCTTGGGATTACAAGGTCATTAACTGTAAAGTACCGTATCCTCTCGTGAATAAGGGCCCACCTCCTCATATAAGGGGGCTCTTATTCATGAGATGTTTGGTTGCGCCTTAAAAACAATGCAAAATGATCTACAAATCGTCACGTAACAATTGCCCCCGTTATCTCTATTTATTACGAACTGATGTGTGCCAGCTATTTCGTAACATTACGGCCTTATTCACGATAGCAATTTTTTCATATGAGGGGCCCTTATTCATGATAGTTTACGGTAGATTTAATTGTTGCCAGATAATTAGGTAAGAGGTCTTAGATCATTTTGTGAGACAAAGTTGGATTGAATAAAACGAGTAATAAAATAAGCAAACACGTTAATGAAATAGATTGCACAATGGAATTAATATAATTGCTTCAGTATCAGTGATAACAATAGATAAAAATGGAAATTTCCCTACCAGCTACAGTACTGGACAAAAGTAATGGCGGTAGGAATGTGGCTTCGGTTTTTGTTGATAGCATCTCCGTATCGCGTTTTAGCGCTTGTTTACTAATACCAAATTGAGCAGGAGAACAATATAAACAATAAAACACAAACTTCTTTACAATTATTTTTTAATTTTTAAATGGTACCTACACCTATTAAAGTAACCTGTGAACTTGTTAAGTCTTTTTTTCGTGAACGTTATGTTTCCTTAATTCGAAAAAAAATGGCAAAATCATCGAGCAGTCGCCCACAAGATCATTTCACGCCATCCAATGAATTGAAAACTATGCTGGAAACAAAATACCCAGAGTTAGATGTTAATGAGCGTATTATTCACCGAAACCTTAATAGACTTGTTTTAGTTCAGTTCTACCCGCCCATGATGTTCAGGGCGCTTGGAATCTCGTCTTTCACGACGTGTTCTTCCTTGACCTTCTTACTGCCCATGACTGGGCCATTTTGAAGCATAATATTGAGAAACACATTAAAAAGATGGTGGTGGGGAAAAAAAGAAAATTTCTCAATCCGTTTTTTTAGAGAGAAATCAAAGTTAACAGCATTAGTAGTATGAAAAAACGAGTTGAAGCATTTATTGAAGCTGGAGGTCATATCAAATATTAAGTAATTAATAAAATTTGTAGCCATAATGTTTGGGCTTTCATTAAAAATTTTTTATATGTAATTGTCTTTCAGGTTGAGCTCATTACATCCCAAAAACTGACGCCATTACTTTTCATACTGGTTACTTTCTTTCCTCGTGCTTTATTTTTTTTTACTAGCAACTACTTTGTTACAGGCTCTATTAATGTACTCAAAAAAGAGAAAAATTACTTTTGCCTTACTTTTGCTTTTCCCAATATTCTATGATATGTTTCTTTAGAGGCATATTTTGCTTGTTACCCAGCATTTTAATAAAATTATGTTTTAAACATATATTTGCAATATTTTTTCTGCCTTTACAGGTCAGATCCGAAACGTGTACTGTAACCAAATCTAGTAATCATAATAATAATAATCAAGTGTGCAAGATTATCAATAGTACATCTATTTTCCGCATAATATCCAAACAGATCATCTTCTACATCTTTTCCAACGTCGATTCCAAAATGACTAGTGAAAAGTAAGTTGTTAAAGAAAGATATTTCCCGCTTTATATGTCGTAATCATAATAAAATATACAAATCCATTAGAAAGATTCTGCTCCTTGGTTCAGGCTTTGTAGCTGGTCCGGCAGTAGAATATATCCTTCGACGTCCAGAGAATCATATAACCATAGGTATGTATATTCATTCATGTTGGTGTGTATTTCTGATAATATCAAATCACGCTGACCAACCTCTTTATTACAGCATGCCGTCGACTAGAGCATGCAAAAGCCTTATCATCCAAATACGAACGCGCAACTCCAATATCTCTGGACGTCTTCAATGAAGTTGAACTCGACCAAGAAGTGTCTAAACACGATCTTGTGATTAGTTTAATTCCATACACTCACCATCCAACAGTTATTAAAAGTGCCTTGAAATATAAGAAGAACGTCATTACCACGAGTTATGTCTCTGATGCTATTAAGGCTTTTGATGATGAGTGAGTAAGGCGTTGAGGAAAAGTTGGGGTCATGAGAGGGGGGAGTTCCTATACTATAGAATGAAGGCTGGTGGGTTGTAAAATGTTAAGTGCTTTGGATAATAGAATAATGATATTCGCGATGAGTTGTGCAGGGCTAAGAAAGCTGGTATTATTATCATGAACGAAATCGGATTAGATCCTGGTAAGCTGCTGCTGTCCGATAGCTTTTCTATACATGTTTCCACAACGACGTGTGTTAAATGCTAAATACTATGTTTATAATGAATCAGGTATTGACCATCTTTATGCAGTAAAGACAATAAATGAAGTCCATAAAGCTGGCGGAAAGGTTTGTCGCATAGATTCTATTAAATATCCCGCTTTATACTTTACATCTGGTCATCAATTGAATATCATCTTTATTTTTAATTTTGATAGATTTTATCATTCATCTCATACTGTGGTGGACTTCCCGCTCCAGAGAATTCTAATAATCCTTTGGGATACAAATTCTCGTGGTCTTCGCGTGGAGTTCTATTGGCATTGCGAAATTCAGCCAAGTTCTATCAGGATGGAAAGGTATGTTAAGTGTGAGGACAGTGATAAAACCAATCGAATGCAAAATGCAGTTTCTTGGTAGAAAGATGTTTTTAATCGTGCTATTGCTCATGGCAAAAACTTTTTGCTTTGTGTAGATTGCAGAAATTTCTGACCACGAGTTGATGACTTCAGCCAAGCCATACTACATATATCCTGGGTTCGCGTTCGTTGCGTATGCAAATCGTGATTCAACGCCGTTTAAAGAAAAATATCATATCCCAGAGGCACAAACTGTGTTGAGAGGTACTTTGCGATATCAGGTGCGTATTAGAGATTGAGTGGGTTAATTGATTAATTCTGGTAGAAAGAGATGTTAATTTTCTGCTATGTTAATTGTGTTTGATACCATAGGGATTCCCTGAATTTGTCAAAGTTCTTGTTGATATCGGATTATTGGATGGCACCCAGAAAGATTATTTACAGCCAGGAGCTCTCGCAATTAGTTGGGTAAGTATCTATAATTACAAAAGACTCACTTTTGAAACTGTGTCATTTGATAACCCCCAAGTTGTTCCCAACTCAAGTTGACCAGATCAAAGCACTAAGTAACTGTTTCTATCTTTATTCAGAAAATAATGTTAATTATTTTAATTTCTAATTAATAGGCCAATGTTCTCGCCAAGATTCTCGATGTATCTTCCTCAGACGAAAGGTATACTATATCTTTGAGTTATATGATTTGCCACTAGTTTTTGCCAACAGCTACAAGAGGAATGACTTGGGTACCGTCAAAAAATTTTTTCTCTATTTATTACGTTCTCATAAACAGTGTACTCTGTTCAGCAATACTCTCCAAAACCAATATCTCTAATGATGAAGCAACGAGAATTCTACAGGGCATGAAATGGATTGGTCTTTTTTCTAACACGCCAGTGCATCTTCGAGGTACATTGCTTGATACTCTGTGCGCAACCTTGGAAGAGAAAATGCAGTATGGCCCAGGAGAGAGAGATATGGTTATTCTTCAACATAAATTTGGAATCGAGTGGAAAGATGGCACTAAGGTGAGAATTGCTTGTAAAGGATAATATTGATGGATATGGGCATTAATTTTAACAATTTGGCGATTTCTTTAGGAAACGCGCACATCAACGTTACTGGAATTTGGTGATCCCAATGGTTCGTCTGCAATGGCAAGAACCGTTGGCACTCCATGCGGCATTGCCACTCAACTAGTGCTAGACGGTAAGCATTTGCAAACCTAACCATGTGGGCGATTGACTAAAATATTCGACCGCCATTAAACATATGGGGCAATATTAACGCAGCCAATTAACATACCATTAGGTGTTCTTAATCAAAAGGGTGTCGTTGCCCCCTATAGTGAAGATGTTAATAAACCCATCATGGAAGCATTGGAAAAGGAAGGCATTAAATGTGTTGAAGAGATTTTGTAATTGTACATTGAATTTATTAAAGTACAAAAACAACTAGAGGTTCTTCGGCTATTGCATCCCCGTCTTTAAAGAAATTGGCTTCTTTTTTTTTGTAAATCTTATTTATGGCAATCACTCACATGACGTCAGTTAATATTAAGGCGTCGCTAATTCTTGAGAGCGTTTCTGTTTCCATAAATAGTTCGCGTCTGGATATAAAAGCTTTTTCTTTCAAAAAAAAAGGCCGCACATTCTATATATGTGCAATTTACGCATACAACCGGGGGATGTACATGCTTTTTTCTGTGAAAAAGATGCCCGCAAGTGAGGTATGTAAACGCCTTGAGAGGAGACATTAAAATGTCATTACCACATTCAGAACATGGACCTAGTTCTGGGAAATCAATATCTCTAACAGTTTTATCTTCGAGACTTTTGAGGATATTATATTTGACATCCGTGCAATAAAGCAAAAACGTTATTATGTATACGAAAACATCTTTTTATCATAAAAATCATTCTTGATACAATGTACTGTATGTGCTATGATACGTAAATTAAATCCTGCAGAAGATTTTCTATACTAAAACATCACGCAATAATACTAACTCATAATTGGTTTTCTAATCATTGATACTATATGGAAAGTGCACTCATTGAGCATAATGCAAAACAGCATCTATTTGTTGTTTATGTGGATATTATTAAACAGCTACGGTAATCTATTCTATTATCCTAACTTAAATACATAAACTCACTCGAATAATTCCTCGGAATTTTCAATACGTGCCGAACTGTCGTTCCTTTGGATCGAAGTACAATTCTATCAATCTCGCCCATAAGTTCTTCTTGTTTCGTTAATTCATCCTGGAGAAAAAGTACCACCACAATAAGTATTTTGGGAAAATAAAATATAAATGCAAATCATAAGATACACATACATGAAAAATAGCCATCATTCTGAAGACAGCTTTGAACTGACTCCGGCCATGGAAGCTAAAAGGGACTACTGCAGTAGCAAGTTCTGAAGAGATAAACCTTCCATCTGGGAGCATACCAAGTGCATACAGAGTCATCCGAGTGCCTAAAAAAGTAAAACATAAGTAACAGAAAATTCAACCTCACTGGCCATACAGATATATCACTTACCGATAACCTGGGTACAAAAAACCTTTATCTTTGTAGCGAGCTCCACATTACAATCCAAGTGGTTTCTCAATATAGCAATCAACTTTAACACATCCATACGGAGTGTTTTTTTTGTATCGCCCAAGGTGTATGTGTCTGTCGCGTTACATGGTCCGCCAGCTACCTCCATGTGCCATACATCTAATCCATCGTAATGTCTGGTCGCTATGGAATCTATCCTGACAATTTCCGAATTTATAATTCTTGCAGAGCGGGCGTGAGACTCGATCCAGTCGAAATCGAGGTTAAGGAATGTTTTTTCATAAAATTTATAAATTGACGAGATTTGGTAAGTTATGTATTTATGTTTGCCTATCTTTCTGTCCATATTGGGGTTAATATCAACTAGATTGTAGCTAAAGTATAAAGAGTAGTTGTCAGTATTTTCTCTTGATTAACCGATAAGCCTCAACATTTACTTACAAATCTAGGAGAACTTTCTCGCAGTACAATCGGAAAAGGTCGTCCGGAACATCAACCAATGCTGCATTTTTAAATTGTTTTCCGGATTTTTTTAGGACATTGTCAATGTATTTTTCTAAATCGGGCGTCCATATTTGAGGGTTAGTATTGCGTACAGAATAAAGTTTGTTTGCAAGCTCCGCGCCGATTTCTAAAGTCAACTCGGCGACCGATTTATCAAACGCGCATATTATAGATATATCTTCAGAATACCTGGAGGAATTTGCAAGACACTATTAGATTGCCTTAAGTATACACAATGAGAGAGACTTACTGAAGAATTTCTTCATTACTTATTAGGAGTTGTCGTTAAGTCCCGCGGAGCTTGCGGTGGGGTTCTAGGTACTGGAGATTCCGCCGATTCCAAATCAGTGGTATTATTTGTTCTTCTTATCTTCCTTGATTCCCTCTCTTCATCCGAACTATCTATTTCAGCGTAATTAACACGTTTTTTTGGACGAGGTGATCTGCATATTGAAGGTTCTCCCTACAACATATTCGTGATTAAAAAAATTTTGTAGCCTTATTGCTAATCGCGATTAAAGGCCTACCGGTTCTTCTTCATTTTTGTCTGAATAATTATTTGTTCCGTTGTTGGTGATCCCGCCGTAGACAGTTCCACTGCCAGAAATTTGCTGGTGGATGTGGATGTGGATTTGCTTCCTTGAACGCTCTTTCTCCCAATCATTCGCCTTCTTTTTATCGGATCCAAGTTCCTAGAATAAAAACAGTATTATCTATTATCCTTCAAACAAGACGTCTCCGGTACCACTTTATTTCTGATCCCGCCATAACATCAAACAAGCTAGCAGGTCATTTGTGCCCCGACGGGTCTAGTGCTGGATCGACTAAGTCTTTTAACATCAAACGAGCAGGTCATTTGTGGCCCATTACTAGTTTTGTGGCTCAACTAACAGTTTTGAATGACGAACCATCTAGCAGATTTTCGCCACCATTCCTATTTCCAGTAAAAACCTTTTTACTTGTCTTCTTATAATTGTCATAGAGTACCTTTGCCTTGTCACGCCTCTTAGATTCTTGCTCAGTATTCATAATGATTTAATATATATATATATCTTCCGTTTTAAAGGTTCTTCGTCACAGCAATGCACCATTCCTTAGTCTTTCGTTTGAGATTACGCGTCACGTAATATCGCGGGGGCACTTTTATTGTACGACCATGATCAGATGATCTGTCGATCTTAGTAGGGTTGTAGTAAATTACAACTAGTTGTAAATTACTATATAATAATTAAAAATTTTTTGCTATAAGAACCGTTGGTTCGTTATAAAGAGGTTTGACTGTATATGAAGAATTAGCGAAACTTTATTAATTATTTTTCAGATACATAGCGAACCAGAAAATGATAGAGAAGCGTGTATGATGCTATCGAAGAGGGAGGGAGTACGCGAATCTTAGGCCATTTAATGCGAGTCCCAGCATCAACTATTTCTTTTCTTTCTTTGACTTCTTACAAATTTCTATATTAATTGTTTTATCTGTATTGCTATTTCTAGCCACGAGGTTCTTCCCCACACACTCTTTTACTACACTAAATTTCCGAAATAAATTATCCCACCCATGTCTACAGAAATTTTGTCTCTCCATCTATATCTCTTGCACCCGCGCAGGTTACATAAAATATTATTCTCCACAAAAAAACTTCTCTGTGATTGAGTAATTTCGAAACTGCAGAATAGATTGAGAGATTAGCACCTGGGGTAAAAAAAAAATAATATTTCCGATTCTGATATATTTCATTTTTACATTACTCCATTCCGCCTTTTATACAAGTTTATTATTTCTTTTGCTTATCGCCGGAACGAACGAATTCGGTATGTGAAGATTCTTACGCCAGACAAATTATTTAATATCGATATATTGCACCAGGCTTTTGCTGTGCCGTTGCATGTGACGAGATTAATTTCACTATTGTGTCGATACATAGCAAGAAAAGTAAATGTCCATTTTATTTTGGAACATCTATAATATAGAGGCGATGACATGTTTAAAGAAACTAGCCGAATAATAAACCAACTTTACCGATTGCAAATATCGATGATGCAAACAATGGTAAGTTAGATTGGTTTGATTGGTTTTGTTCAATTTTTATCTTATTTGCACGAGGCAGTAAACGGGTTCACTAACTAGGACATCACCTTTTTATATAATTCACAAATTGCGTAAACAATTCAGTTTAAAAAAATGACCAAGAATTGTATTCGAACGTGTTAGTTACTTTAGCAATTATCATACACTTACAACATTGCAGAAATAATGAATGTGAACTGTATGATATTATTTGAATTATAGCTTATAAGCGTATAGATCATTGCAACATACACCTATCGATGATTGTGTTTCTTGTACGCTAGTATTTGTGTGCATATAACTTATCTATAGCTCCACATAGTGATAAGACAAGACTGAAGCAGAATGCCGACTCGATTCATACATCATGCTACAATTCCGATCTGACATATGAATGATCTGACATACGAATGATCTGACAACACTAATGCGAAAATAAGCACCTCCCTACAATGTTTCTACAGCATGTGACTGTCTATTTACACGTATTACACGAAGTTGTGATTCGTACCACATAGGTAATGCCGACATCATATTGCAGATATTATTATTATCATAGAGATCGCGTGGCTTATCGGTAGTAAATTACCCCACTGGTCTACCGCCCGTGACAATTATAAATTTTACGACTTGTTAACCAGTGAAAAAAATTTATTTACGGAAACCAGCGATATTATGTCATGCTGTGTTACAGATCGATGTTTGTTTATTGGTTGACAATCGCAGACTCTCACATTTATACTTATAAGGTTACGTGCAAAAAAAGCAATCCTCCAAATGTTTCTACAGCATCGGCATGTGCAACATTTATACTTATAAGGCTTACGTGCAAAAAAATTTTTAACTGCGTGTACACTGATTTCTATTGTTCTTATTCATCTAACACGCGAACGCGTGTCTACTCATACATGTATATATATACCCAGACACTTCCCTCCCCTCTTCCTTCAAAGCGCAAATATGTTCTGGCCCGATCTGTCCATCAGCCCGATCTGAACCAAGTTGATTGTCATTGGTCCATCTTGGAAAACCCCC